GCATAGGCGACTACCGGAGCTTCGTTTTCGTCTTCTTTTACGTTCCGCGTTGAAATCTTGTATTTTCTTTAGGTCCTTTAGATATTTAAGACTTTCATTTAATCGTTTGATATTTATATTTCGACATAGCTCTTGTATTTTCTTATTTATGGAATGGAATCGGACAGCGAATGGATCGACGATACAAGATTATGAGGCTTCAATGACCATGTAAGTTCATCCCATTCTTAAGTTTTTGTCGCTAATAAAGGGCAGTCAACAATGTAAATTGCCACTGACGCAGTAAGGCTATCACGGTCGTGCTTCTCGCTGCATGTGCGCGCTCGTTTCCGTAAAGCCGACCCGCCATGTAAGCGATTTAGCGTGCGACAGACGAGCGACGGAGATTTCTCACTGTCGCCCGTCGCATCGCTCTCTTTTTTGGGATTTCTAGAAAACGTCGCTCACCGTCTTGGTCGCTTGCTCCGTCGCTTCCATGCGGTTTGCCTCGTCGCGCGACTGACTGAAGCGGGTCGCCGTCGCTTATGTGGTCGCTCGCCAAATAGCTTGCATGCGGTTTATACTCAATTTCCATGCACACACCATTGAACCATTGGCACCTCGATATAAAAACCGCATGCAAGCTATTCGGCGAGCAACGAGACAAGCGACGGTGACCCGCTTCGCTGTCGCTCGGACAGTCGGGCGATGAGGTAAACCGCACGAAAGCAACGCGAGAAAACGACCAAGACGGTGAGCGACGTCTTCTAGAAACTCAAAAAACCGAGCGATGCGACAGGCGACAGTGAGAAATCTTCGTCGCTGACTCTCGTCGTCGTCGCCGTCGCTCGTCTCGTCGCACGCTAAATCGCTTACATGCGGGTCGGTTTTACGGAAACGAGCGCGCACATGCAGCGAGAAGCACGACTGGATAGCCTTATTTCGTCAGTAAAAATTCGCATATATCGCAATGGTGTCGACTGCCCTTTATTAGCGAGAAAAACGTTAGAATGGGATGAGCTCACATGGTCTCTGAAGCAATAATCTTGTATCGTCGATCCATTCGCTGTCCGATTCCATTTCATAAATAAGAAAATACAAGAGATATGTTGAAATATAGATATCAAATGATTAAATGAAAGCCCGAAATATCGAAAAGACCTAAAGAAAACACGCGATTTCAACGCGGAACGTAAAAGAACGCGAAAACAAAGCTCCGGTAGTGGCCGGTGCAGCACGCAACGCGGAGGAACGGCGAGAAACTGAAGGGCGGCTATGGCGGCAGTGTCACGTGACGTCAAGATGGCGGCGCCCATGAAAAGTTGCCTGAAAGGGTCTATAAGGCAGTAATAGCATCTTACGGGCGTTCTGAAAAAAAAAAAAAAAAAAAAAAAGGTTAGTTTGGACGTTTTTCTAGGTTTCGGTTTCTTATCGGAGCGCATCTCTACGCCCGCGGTCCTGCTCCTCGGTGGTCGCGGCGCGAAGCCACCGCCTCGCCTCCTTTGTAAGATGGAGGGAAGTATTGAGTGAAGTATTACGCCATGGCCTCCGAGATTCCGACGCACGCTTCGGGATCTCGGGGGCCATGATTGCGCACGCGCGTTGCGCGTCTCGGCAACTGGGGAGCAGGACCGCGGGCGCAGAGATGGATCGAGAAATCGACTAATTGGAAGCCAAAATGGCTGCAATAGTCGCCAGCGGTGCGACCCCGGGAAAAAACAAGACAAAAAACAATACTTTAGCGCTAGTTTTTGCGGCCAAGACTACGTCATTGGTGTTGTTTTTCACGGTTTTATTTTTAAAAGAATCTGTAAAGCTTAAAAATACAAAACAAAAAACGCCCTGCATAAAGGAGCCATGAGGCCACTTGAGGCAGGCTATCGCTCCGCTTTCTACAGAAAAGAAACCGAACTTGCGTTAGTTTTTATTTTATTTTTTTATTTTTTGATAGCTTTGGCGCTAAGTTGGTGGCATATGGGGACCAGTAGAAAAGAGATGATATTGGCTGAAACGTTTTAATTAACTTCTTAAATTATAATTCTTTGGGGTTTAATCTAGTTGGAGAATTGACCCACCTTATAGTTTAGTCGTGACGCGAAATTTTTATTAAAAAACGCCACCGTATAGCTAGCGCCTACTAGCTACGACTTTTTCAATCAAAATTTTAAGTCAAGGCTACACTATTATGAGGTCGAGGGTCAATTTCCGAACTACATTATGCACACAAATATTATTTTAAATGTTTTAGTTAATCAGTTCTCTAAATATTTCTCCCGTAAATATTGTACATAGAATTATGTAGGAACCAGGTATATCGTACCCAACATATTTTACGTACAATATTTGTGGGACAAAAGAAACTGTAGTGGACATCGCTCGATGTAACCGCCGGGCCACTCGGTCGCAAAAGCCTGAAGCTCGTGTGTCTCGTTCTGTCTGCTTGAGCCCCCCGACCGGCTTCTTTCTTCCAGTAGCACCACTAGCACGGCTGTTACGGACTGTTTTGTGAAGCGAGAGCTCGCGCTGCAGAACCCAGGGATCCTGGGTTCAATCCCTGCCCTTGCCCGTTTCGATCTGGATGAGCATTGTACCGGCATGTGGTTGTGTGTCACTATACTGCGTGGTGCACGTTAAAGACCTCAGGCTAGCGGTACTGCACTGGCTAAATTGCTCATCTACAGCTGAAGTCGCCCGTTGAGGCAGACTAAGTTCAGGCTCTATAAACATTCACACGCCCATTTTCAGACCTTTTTCAAACGTCCGTGCTGTCGCCTGTCAATTCGATTCAAGCGATGTTCATTTTTTTTTCTTCTTCTTGAAAGTCTGACGTTGTACTTGGTTGTACTCAACGTTACTGGGTGTCCCAAATAGCGGCCAGGCTCTTTAAATCGACTGCAACAATCGGTTTCTTAACCTATCGCGCTACGACTTTGTGCAGCGTTGCCCACAGATTCGCAAACAGCGAACTTACCCGAAGAAGAAGTAAAGAAAGAAGAAGGCTTGACTCCTATGGAAACCCAGATCAGTAGGGCGCCCTATTGTTTGAAGACCGGTCGTTTCGGCTGCGTTTCCAAAGAAGTTAATCCTTTTTCTTTTTTTACTTTTTTCCTCGGGTAAGTTCGCTCTTTGCAAATTTCTGTGGGCAACGCTGCACAAAGTCGTAGCGCGATAGTTTAAGAAACCGAATGTTGCGGTCATTTTAAAGAGCCTGGCCGCTATTTGGGACACCCGGTAGATTACCTCAGTTGTGAAACTCTCGCAGAAGAAATAGCGCACCCCCCCCCCCCCCCTCATTCACTTCAGTCTGCCTCCCGTCGTTTGAAGCGCCATCTAGATTTTCGTTTCATAGCCCTGTGTTCCATAGAGCAGAGCTGGAACACCATGCATCTAGAAGCTGTGCTTCGAAACGTACGCATTTTATAGAATACGCTGTAGTTACCAGAGCAGCCGTCCGGCGCGTCAAACGACAGGGGGCGAGTCGTGGTAAGTGAGGGGGGGGTACTGCTCGTGCAAGCAGCGTCTGTGAGTAGTTCCGTACTTGAGCTAACATAATAACGTTGGTTGTACTATCGCCTGTCCTCCATTGCTTGCTCACGTATTCCGAGCAGAGATTGGGCCCTAGCCTCCTCTATTAGCGCCGAGATGTTTCAGTGGCGCCCTCTTATGGTTTCCATCCGTGACGTCACGACTGGGATTTGCCTCGCTGTGACGTCACCAGTTGTTACCCTGGCTACTTACCATCAGGTGCGACGACGAGTTCGATGGTGCGTTTAAAAAGCACAGTGGAAGCTAGGACCCATCGCAATCCGAAACTAACACCGTCAAAGTTGACAATCTGGCAATGCTCATATGCCCATGGTTTGGCCAATCGTAGAAAACTGACCGCAGCGACGCTTTTGGTCGCGCACATCGCTAATACTCACAAAGGCTGGCAGTTCGACGACGGACCCATATACAGGGTGTCACAAAAGAAAATTTACACGGTCTTTTTTACCGCAAAAATAAACTAGGCGTCGCCGAACGCTCATTCTCCGCCCAAAGGTAGAGCTAGAGGTCACAACCAGATGCCAAAGTTTCAGCCCGATCCGATAACTTAATCAAAAGTTATGAGTGATTTTCTGAAAATTTCAATGGGAAAATGGAGCCCATTTTTGCCCGTTTTCGGTTTCTGGTGCCATAGAGCCCCATGTGTTTGAAAACTCCGTCGGCCGCCATTTTCCCATTGAAATTTTCAGAAAATCACTGATAACTTTTGATTAAGTTATCGGATCGGGCTGAAACTTTGGCATCTGGTTGTGACCTCTAGCGCTGCCATTCGGCGGAGAATGAGCGTTCGGCGACGCCTAGTTTATTTTTGCGGTAAAAAAGACCGTGTAAATTTTCTTTTGTGACACCCTGTAGAGCGCCCGGTCGCAGATTTGGAGCGCGAGGATCTGGCAGCCCAGAGCATTAAAGAGCCATTTCTCGGAAAACCTGGACGTCAGCGGACAGCTTTTGTAGCGGCGAGGACCCGCACTTGTTCACTCGGGAGAAGAGTGTTTCGGCGTTTCGCCGCAGCGGAGCGCCAGTCATGTGACTCTTCTCTCATCCGTTGTCTTCCGCTCCACATTTTCCATTTCGGCGGCCACTTCTCGTGGCGATCTGCCAGGGTTTGTCAGTATATAGGTATATAGGAGGAGGCTATGACTGGACACGAAAGCTGCGTCAGCGTTCGGCGTGAACTCGGCTCAGCTCGCATTGAGAACGAGTGCCGCGTCTGCGTTCGGCGAGGACTCGGATCCAATCACACTTCGCGTCCAAACAACGGCGACTGACAATGTTGCTTGATGGAATTCTGAAAAAAGTCTAGTGGCTCCCGTGGTCCTCAACCTCGCCCCAGGGTGTAAAGAACCTCCACAAAGAATACCTTTCAGGGGGTGTATAGCTGTAAAATAAACACTTGTTTTTTTTCTCGGGGACGCGCGTTGTAGATTTTGTGGAGCAAGACGCACCAGCACAGAGAATTGCCGTGGTCGTTCTAGGAACGCTTCTGGAAGCCGACGTCTTGGCTGAGTTCGCCGGCCTGGGCTGCTACTGCGAGTACGACCTGTTCGGCATCGAGACGTCCCACTACCAGCCCGAGCCCCGCTTCGACATGCCCAGCGACGCCCAGCGGCTGTCCTTGCTCAAGTCCCTGGTCGACCAGGGCTTCGAGGACAGGATCGTCATCAGTCACGACATACACACCAAGCACCGGCTGGTTCGTACATTACCCAGACACCAAAAACTCTCCTTAAAAATAAAAGAGAAGACAGTTGTCCTTAGCGTGTATGCCCCCCCCCCCCCCCCTGGCCAAAAAAAAAAAAAAAGAAAGATAATTTTTTTGCGCGAAGAATTAAAAACTGATTGGCTTAGACATTCCACCAAATGCAATGAAGGCGCAATAGCACTATTACACAGTTCCTACCCTGCTCATAGTCCCTGCTCAACGGAAAGGGAGGGAGAAAGGAGTGTTAGCGCTTACCGGTGTATCTCCATTCGGCTGAAGGACCATTATGGCTGAAGCTTTACCCAACCCCAGCGGAAGATTTTTCAAGGGGGTGTCCTCAGAGAAACTAGGGGTGGCGGGGAGGGGGGAGGGGGATGTACACACTTGGGGTAAGTATGGAAATCACTGCCCCGCAGAACAATCAAACTGCAACCAAAGGATTATGCGCGGGGGAACGTGACGTCACACTCGGACGCATTGTAAGGGATCGGCGATTTTTTAGTTACCAAGACTAATTTATTTTGCCGAATGTCCGGGGTTTTATCTTATCCGGGATGGTATTTATTATATCTAAATTTAGAATAGTATTTGGAGAACGGCAAGTGAAAGTGATACCAAAACGATATCATTCAAATTTCCCCGCGCTTTCTACTGGCATGACGTCACATGCTGGAAATCTTGCAAATACAATAAACAGTTTTTTTTTTTTCTACTTTTTTCCGGATTGTTCAGCGTGTGAGAAGTCGAGCTTTCCCAGCATTCGTTTCACACCATTTAATTTCTTGTAATCCGTTGAACACAAGTGACAACCTCCTCCCCACACGCCGCTTCCTCCTCCCGCGGCAGACGACGCCATTTTTGAAGGTGGCGCTCCGAACCAGAAGGCGGCGGATGCCGACCGTCCGTGTCTGACAAATTTCAGCATCGCAGGGTACGAATTTGGTCACGTGGAATGCACTAACTAACCGGTGAGCAGAGAGAAAAAAAAAAATATATTTGAAAGTGAAGCTGTTGGCAAGGAGGAAAGTTGAATAGAATGACTTGTCTTGTTTTCATGTTTGTGACTTCTACGAAATCTAGAACAGAAAGCTGCTGCGGCAGGTTCGCTGGCCAGCTTTCTTTAGCGAATAAGGAATTCACGGCGCCTGGCGGCCTAAAGACGAAGCTATGACAGGTTAAAATACGTGATGAAAATCGACACTAAAGGTGCTTTACCTGTTTCCACATTTGTCACTCCTCTCACGTTGCCGGTGAACTCAATAAAAAATATTATTAGGGTTTTAGTTTGTGTTGAGCCAATTTTGGAGATAAATCAGAAACCACAAAAAATTCGAAAAAAAAAAAAAAAAGCCGGGGCTCTGAAAGAAGAAACGGAATGCAACATGATGGACGAAGCACATACCTTTATGATGTAGTATGTCAAAACAACACGGACGATAACGAGGAAGAACTGGACAGGACGCAGCGCAACTTTCGACTGAATGGTTTCTTTCGATGACGTACAATAAAAAATGTAACAGGCACACTAGGGAGAACACAAAGATATGGTCTAAAAAAAACCCAAAATATATCTTGTTCTTTCTTTGTTATTTTCCACTTATTACTGTTTCCTGCCCGGTTCCATTCTCGAGTCAGCTCCGAGTTCCTTTTTAATCAAGCCGTTAATTACATTTTCAGTTATCTTTTTTTGTGTGCATGTGCGTGGGCAGGGGGAGTTGGGATGGCCGCGATTAGGAGGCACTGGAAGTAGTCTTGAAACATGAGCGAAATCGCTCCCACAAAAAATATGAATCGCAAAAAAAAGTACGAAGTTTAAGAAAATAATAAGGTTCGGTATAATTACCTTATTAATTACTTTTGAGTAATCAACCTCTTAATGAGTAAACTTAAATGTGCGACATACCATCGAAAACTACTAGATAAGCGCACTCTACAAGAATATATGGCACGCGGAGCATCTTACAGCGTTCCGTTAAATTTGTTTGGGCACGCTTCTCTGCGCCTGCGACCATGCTTCCTGTGGCCAAAACGCGCAACTAATGTGCGCCGTCACACATTCTTCGCATGGTGCATGTGAACCTAATCATAGGCGTAGACTAGGGGGGGGGGGGGCATCGGTGCTCGTGCCCCCACTGGTGACATCCGGGGGGGGGGGGCGGCAAAGCCCCCTCCGGGCCCGGGCCATGATCTTTACCGAGACGCACCCCCCCCCCCCCCCCCCCCCCCGGGAAAATAGAAAGTCTCCGCCGCTGAACCCAATAACCACAGCGTAATGTATTGTCGTGCGAAGAGCACAACGTTTCATTTAGCCGGCTCGCTCCAGGCTTCTTTCTTTCCTCCGACGCGCTGGCGTAGAGATCCGTTCCGTTGGGGGAGCAAAACTTAGATGACGCGTCCAATATTAATGTTTTTCATTAGAATGCTCGTTTTCACGAATACCTGTCCGTGTCAGTCCGTGCGTCCATTTGTCAGCGCCATGCATGACGTCGCGAGGGAAGACGTGTCGGCGCAGTGTGTTGGCGCAGTTGGCGGCTGGGACAGAGGGAGAGGGTGACGCGTGCTGACGTCAGCGCTTCGGACCAATACGAGCGTCGCACAGCTGGCACGGAGCCAGAGTCGAGCAGGCGTCGCGCCGCTTTGGAATGCTGCCCAGCCCAGCTGCCCCTGCGATGGATGTGGTTCTTTCCACGAGTGACAGAGGAGGTGAAAATGGAATGGAAACTGGTCGTAAACGACAGGAAACCGGTGATAAACGAATGGGAAGGGGTGAAAAGGGCGTGAGGAAGAACCAATGCTAAAACATTTCCATCAAATAAATTCTATTGATCGTCGACAATTTTTTTTAGCGCTATAAAATGCTGCACGTGCCTTATCTTTTTGTAACGTGGGCAGATTTGGTAGCATACCTCAAAATCTACTTATTAAAACGTTAATCCTAGAGGGCCAGTTGGTAAAGACCAATAGAACTTGGAGGATGCTTAAAGGGCCCATGAAACGAATTTTCGGCTGAGATAAATGCATTTATATTGGGATTTTACTAATATCATATCGTTTAGTGGGCCAGAAGAAAGGTAGAAAGCCAAAAACCTGATTTTCGGTACGGAAATTTGAAAACACAGCGGACTACTTCGTACCTCTTTGCCTTCGAAAGCTCTCTGCCTTCCCACTGTGATACATCCGCGGAGCCCAAAGCGCGTCATCCGACCCAAACGCACGTTACACGACATCCCGGACCTCACTTATTCCTTTCACCCCTAAGCTGACCGTGCGGTGGAGGCTATGCGCTTGCCGGACCAATCAGTCGCCTCCCTTTCATCACCTGACCTTATTCTCCTCGAATGGGTACGCGCGAGGGAGCGTGATCACGTGGCAAAAGTGTGGCTGGCCCAGGGAGCACGTAGCTTCCACAGCACTGTCAGCTTAGGGGTGGACGCGGGGTTTGGGGTGGAGAAAGCAACCTTTGTCCGAGTTTTGAGGGTTGGGCTAATCTTGTAGGAGGAGAATGGTGGCGGTCCCGGGTACACTAGAGTAACTGTATAGGCTCTGCTTGCAAGCGGAACATATACAGTTACTCTAGGGTACACAAACGAAGGACCGATCCAGTAGGGAGTCCCTCCTTTCTGTCTTTTTGAACTGTTTGTTACAATGAGCGATTTGTGAGTTGAGGAGGAAAGTTAAGAAGGAAAAAGTAGAAAAATCTTTTCATGAACGTTGAAAGAATTGACAACTTGTAGACCCTAAAATGAAAAACAATAAAAAAAAAGACAAACACAACAAATTGGCATTTTCTACTTTTGACATTGTTCATCTTGTCAAAAGGACAGAAAACACACCTCCTTCCTTCGATATGTTGCGATTCCGCCGCGTAATCGCGAGGCAAAATCTAGAATATTCCCCGACCTGCAGCCGCGACGGCGGCCATGAGATCCACGCGGCATGACGTCAATGGGGGTCTTGTAGAAAGATAGCAAGTTGTGCGAATACCTGCTCGATAAAAACTTTTCTATAAATCTTGTCGTTCCAACATAAATATAAATGCGTCAAAAACCTGGCATCATCGACAAAACTTTGATTATACATAGTTTTAGTGGGCCATCTATCCTAGGTCCACAAAAACATCAGCTCTATCTGCTGCCGCGAACAGCCGCCAGAAGCCGGAGGGGGACAGAGCCGGACTGGTATGGCCGGACCCGGATGAGACTTTGCTCCTTTCACCATATTGTTCGCGCTGCGCCCGCCAGCACGTGGTCACGCGGTCGCGAGCGGATGAGTTCTCGCTGCTCACTGATGGCTCTAGAGAGCACCGGAACCCCGCGCGACCCCCATTGACGTCACAGCGCACGTGACTCGGAAGATGGTGAAGGAGTTGAGAGGTGCCGAAGACCTCAATATTTGTCCATTTTTAAAATAAAAACTAGGACATGCAGGCAAAAGCGGTTTTCGTTCTTTACTTCAGAAAGGTCGAGACACCAACCCCCAAATTATTTAAGCAAAACACTGTGTCAGTGCTTTGCTGAAATAATTTGGTAGTTCGTGTCTCGACCTTTCTGCAGTAAAGAAAAAAAAATTTAAGCTTACTAGCACCTCCGAAAAATCTTTTTTTTTTTTGCCAGGCGATTTTTTATGGTGTCAGAAGACTACATAGTCAATATTTGCTACAGTGTCAGATATACTTTTAATAAAGTAAAAAGACGCAATTGCTCGAAAAACCGAAACTGGACTGGAGAGAAAGAAGAAATATAGGGGAGAAAGTTACCGAAAATCACGTGGCAGTGCCACTTTTTTTTTTTTTTTTTTTTGTTAATCAACTTATTTGCAGCGTTTTAGAAACCACAAGAAATGGGTATACTATTTTTTGTCTATTTCCAGTATTGAGTGTGTGCCTTCGATGACCCTCGGCCTTGATTACCTTTGGTGGTTGTGTCTAAACCATAGAAAACGGCACGTGACCAGGGAGAAGAGAGTGAGCGCGACTCAAACCGGCCAGTTCTCGTTCAGCAATTTTCGAGCGGAACGAAAACTAATTTCGAGCCGCAAATCATGTTCTTGGTAGTTGGGCTCTGATATTTCATGTACAAATAAAAACCTTGGCGAGCATAAATATCCCGTCAGTATGCCCTGCAATGACTTTTTGACTGGTTTTTAATTCGCACCGAAAGTCAGCGCACTGAACGTAGTAACTTAGTGAAAAAGCCCCGAGCGTCAGTGATTTCATATCAGCGTCTTTTCTCCATTTCGAAACGCCCAGATGAAGTATGGCGGACACGGCTACTCGCACATACTGCTCAACATCATTCCCAAGATGCTACAACGTGGCTTCAGCGAGGAGGTGGTCCGCAAGATCACCCAGCTCAACCCAAGCACCTGGCTCACGTTTCGCTGAACCATCCGGACGACGTTCACTGCAGCACGTCCTCCCATCCCCTCTCCAGAAGTTTGTCCGTCCATATGCATCTTCCCGGGAACCTGACGTCGGTGTCACGGGTCACGTGACATCAATTTTCCTGTCAAATATAGCGGGGAACTTAATTTCAAGAAGCTCCACCTCAGAAACTATTGTTAGCGTCTTGTAAACAAATTTAAACGGTAGTTTATATTTTTTTCAAGGAGAACTATGTGACGGAAGGGTGGGATAGCAGAATAAACTGGAAGACTCCTTGTTCATCCTCAAAATATGCTTGTCCATGCATGGTGGCAAAACTTGTAAAAGATTGTTTGAACAATATCATGGGCGTCTGGTCCCAGCAACTGTCGCTTTCCAAGTTCAGTCTCTACATCTGGTGGACAACCTTGCCGCGATCGGTCCTTCCTCCTTATCAGCCTAAATTCACCAATGGTAAAGAAGTGAGCTCAAGGTCTCATGCCTTGCCACGATTGAGGCCCTCTTCTTTATCACAGACTAAACTCACCAATGGTAAAGAAGCGTGTTCAAGACCTCATGTCTTGCTACTATTGGTCCCTCCTCTTTGTTGCAGCAATGGCAAAAGAGTGCGTCCCAGTAAAGTACCAAGAGCTTCCTACAAGTAGCGACATTCTTTGAAGCGCCGACTACGTGACGGTGCAGGTTTTAGAAAGTGAATGGTGGAGCACGGCAGAGGTTTGAACTGAAGGCCGCCATAATTTGTTCCAGCGGAATGTGCTTTGTCATTCGTATGGGTTGTTGCTGGGTCATTCCGTGGCAAACGTCCCAGGCGTTGCGCTCGACCACCTTCAAATTAAAAAAAAAAAAGTCATGGTTTTTTGTTGCATTATCTGTGACCATGCCCCAAATATATTTGACGAAAAAAAAAAAAATTTTTTTTTTGATGGCGTGAGCTCTGTTTTAATTTTTAAAAATAGCGTGAAACTAGGTATCACTCTATAGTTTATGAAAAATCAGCTTTTTTTAAACACCCAACAACAACTTTATTCAAGTCTGCACGGCTGTGCAGATTAAATCTGTGCAGTTATGTTTAATTTAAATAGTTAATTTTTTTTCTCAAAATGTTAACATTTTTGTTGTTTTATTAAAAAAATATCTAATTGCTCCAGGGACTTAATAGAACTTTTTACCGGCTGCCCTGCAGGCGTATAATCTATAAAAAATGTTTAAACCGCTCAATTAAATATCTCCCAGTAAAAAAAAAGTCCCGAATTTGCCAAAAAGTGTGTTTTGACGCATAAACAGCCGTTTATTTCACTCTGAGGTGGTCCAAGTAAAAATACAAAATATGGTGGGTTTGGAAGAACAATCGATTGTCTTTTGATTCTGGAAGTTTGATCAAAGTAATTTTTGTTTAAAATGAGAAAACATTTTTTGAAGTTGAACTCTCGCACCACAACCCGGCGTCGCTCCTTAAACCCTTTAACTGGCAAGATAAGAAACAGACTAGAATTTTTTTGTACCTTTATTTATTCTCTGCAACACGCTAATACACTCCAGAATAAATATGAAACTGTTTCATCAAAAACTAAACTAGATACAAAAGGTCGACAATTTTGTTGATCTGCCGGTTAGCGGTAAAGTTACGGGCCGAGTCAGCGGCAGTGCAATGATGTTAACCTGAAACCTGGGCCCCCCGGTGGCAGTCACAAACAATTTTACGGCTGAACGAAAACGACAAAGCAGTTGTACCCGCCCTTCAGACGCAAAAAAGCATTTCATTTGGCTCACTTGTAGCCAGACGTACACTGTGGCAGAGAGCACGCCCGCCTCTGGCCTGGTTTCTGGCCAATGAACCAAGGGCATACTCTCCTGTGGACCTTGTCTGGACTGTGGACATTGTCTAGACCTTTTCGGTCCAGACTTTTTCGGTTCGGACCTCGTGGACTTTTTTGGGAACTTGCAGGTAGGGGATGACAGCTCTTTTCCATTCCCTTGATTTGGCACGACCCTTACTCGGCCTCTGTGGTCCCTCATCTTCCTCGTGGTCAGGAACGGGAACGGGAACGAGCGCATGCCTACGGCTCTTTTTCTTTTTTTGGAGGGCAGGTGCTGGCAGCTGTGAGCGAGCATTTTTGACGCGATGAACCGGTACCCGCATTCGAAGCAAAAATTGTGGTCGCGCATTCGTCTTTGCTTGCTGACCTTTCTGGTGCGTCCGCACCTTCTGTTTCACGAGGTACGTCGTCATCGCTTGAGTCAAGCTCCGAGTCACTCGGAGCTTGACTCAAGCTTGACCTCGCTCCGCTTTGGGTTTCCCATAAAACATAGTCTTGTCCATGGCCACAAAAAAAAAAAAAAAATAAATAAAAAAAATAAAAACATTCCTGAACTGCATTTAGATCAATAAACAATCTTATTTCTAAACGGACATTACCTGCTGCACAGCAGGTAATCATTACCTGCTGCACAGCAGGCAATCATCTCTAAAAAACAATGCGGGAACTAGGACATAAACCAACAGCGCACTCGAGAACAGATACCCTAAAGTTGCAAGCGCAGACACACACAAACACACAAAAGATTCACTTATACAGTGCTTTGTAAGTGTTTTTCTTGTTGTGCTTAGAACATGAAATGTAAGCCTAGCACACCAATTTAATTTTAATACGAGAGCTATTGTCGATAAATACTTCCAATACCAAAGCTGTAGGGGCACGCGTGCAATCACTTTCGCTATACCAGCATGAGGTGGGCTTCTTTGCCGTGAACTGGCAACTCAACAATTTTGTCGACTATGATCGCGGACCGCCTGGGAGCGTTTCACACACCTAAACGTGACAATATTTCTATACGGTGTTACTGATGCATGCTTTTACGAAGTTGTAAAATATGAATTCGCTTATCTAAGATAAACGCTTTCCACAGCTCCGAGAATGCAACCACCAAGCAGAACGCCAGAGAATGACAAAACGCGCGCTTTTGACCACTGAAGCAGCAGCTTGCGGCGTCTATTAATAGTTTTATCAACTATAATGAAGAACATGTGTCTCAAAAAAGCTAAATTTAGCAACGTGTGTTTGTATTTAGATTCCGTCTCATTTTAGGGTCCTTTTTACTTAGGTCTACAATATTGTTGATCTGCGGGTTAAAGGGTTAACGCCTCTTCGCCGCAGAGCACGCCACCGACAACGATAGTTGACACGTTTAGGTCCAAAGAAAGAACTGAGTTTACTGCCGCTTCCCTTTGTCCGTCTTTTAAACTGCAAGGGAAGAAACGGCGGGCATCATGTTGATAATAGGAGGTGCCATAACAGGCCCATTGTGCCCTTTGTATCCGAGGGGCGGCTCCTCACACTCCGAAACGCGATGCCTAGTCGACGGGCGGCATCAGCTGACATGGACTTCTCCTAAAAGGGAAACGCGACAATATCGCCGCGAAATCTAGCCGTCACGTATACTGCGGTTAAAGGCGGAACTATTCAGCGACGCAAGAATTTGCCGTTTCAACGCCAATATAAACACACCTGAGCCTCCAACGGCGCGCATTCGTCAACACCACATCGCATCGTCGTTTGAGGTTGCCCGTTCGCTGGGCTTTTTGTTGCTGTTTAAATAGTGTAGTGACGTTGACAATAGAGAGTGATTGCGATGTGTACGTAAGAAACAGCAAGCTTACTATAGATGCTCTGACCCGGCAGCGCTAAGCATCTGCTGATATCAGACAGTGGAAGATCACAGGAGGCAGTGGCGTACCAACTTGTTTTTGAGTGGAGGGGCAAACCCGACCCTTTCCCCCCCCCCCCCCCCCCCCCTTAATCGAAAATTCGGCGCAACTTTTGTCGAACTTTTCTAAAGATGTGGCAATGATTCGGCAAAATTACAACGTTACCAGACTTAACATTAATATTTTGTTTTTTCTCGCGAAAAAAATTTTGCTTCTTCTTCTTAAAATAAATACAACTTGTAGTGCCTATTGAAACAGTTATGATTAAATAAGGTGATATTCTACAAGATAATTGTATCGATGTCGCTTTTGTGTGTTTACTGGCAATTTTAGTGTTTGCTTGCAGAAAGTGGCGTGACAACGAGGTTGGGTAGTAGCGGGAGCAGTCACGAATCACACTACGAGAGTTTTGATTTTGAGGCTTCATCAGCGCACGCCTGCAAGTGTGTTTACATTGTTAAAATAAAGACAATCACTGCGTTTTTAATTTCTCTGGGAGTCACCGTTTCGTGCGCGAAAACGGATGCAACGGTTGTTTAGCCTTCACCAGAAGAGATAACAATACTGTAAATATGCATGTTTTTCGATTTGAGTCACTTGACGTCAGCTTTGCATGAAAGTGCGCGTTCCATATTCGCAACGTGCCGTTTTTAACCTTTAAAATTCCGGTTTCTGGTGTTAGGACACACACGGACGTTTAGGAAGATGGGGAGAGTTAGGAATGTCGGATGTGCAACGTCGAGCATGATAGTTCTGTGTTTAACGAATACTTTTCATCAGTGTTTACTAACGAGTGCTTGGACTTCGTCCCCACTCTCCCTGAAGAGCTTTACGAGCGCATGCATCCTATTAACGTTAACTCCGCTGGTATTAAAACATTGATTGATAAACTAAAACTTACTTCGTCCGCTGGAACCGATAACATCAACCCTAAAATTTAAAAGAAACACCCGTGTTATTTCTAGTGAGTATTTAAAACTCATCTTCATTCAGTCCTCATCTCAAAGCTGCCTTCCATCTGACCAAAAGGTGGGAAGGGTAATTCCCAGTCTTTAAACAGGGCAGCCGCTCTTCCGCATCTAATTATCGCCCTAATTCATTGACTTCAATTTCTTGCAAACTACTTGAGCATATCCTCTACTCCAATATCATGAGGCACCTATCATCCCATTTCTTTAAACAGCAGCACGGTTTTCAAAAGGTACTTTCCTGCGAAACGCAACTCTGCGACTTCATTTATGACTTGCACACTTTATAACCTTGAATGTCACGTCCAAACTGACGCAGTTTTTTTTTTTTTTTTCCAAAGCTTTCGGCCGTGTTTTTCATCAACGCCTTCTTTCTAAGCTATCATCTTTTTGCCTCGACCAATAACCGTTTGCATGGATTCGTGACTTTCTTTTTTCCCGTGTACAGGTCACGTCCATGATGATCATGAATCTTCCTTAATAAATGTATCTCCTGGTGTTCCCCTGGGGTTCGTACTTGGGCCCTTACTCTTTTTAATATTTATTAATGACATTCCCATTGGGATTTCTTAAAAAAAAAAAAAACGCTTTTTCGCCGACGACTGCGTCA